GACGAGCATTTGCAGGGCCAGATCCCAGCACGCGGGACGTGCTCAGCAGGGACGCCTGCTCCCCCTCCCCAGCTCTGCCCCCTTACCTGGCGATGCACCACGCACGGACCCCTCCCCGACACGGCCGGGGCGGCTGCTGCCCCTCCTGCCTGGTGCCCCTCCTGCCTGGTGTCAGCTCTCGGCTGCTGCTCAGCCGCTTGCTTGGGCTCGATAAACTCCTGCCTAATCCTCTTGGTGACGAGGCTGTGCAGGGGATTAGCATTTCTCCTGCTCTACCTTTGGTGGCCATAAGGACAGTTGCTGCTCTGCCACCCCTCATTTCTCTGCTCAGGATTCATCTTCTGCACGCAAGGGACTTGTGATTTATTTTTAACTACTACTTTTAGCTTTCATTACCGTTCAGGTAAGAGCCTGTGCAGCGCGCTTTGACTCCCATGTCCAAGGCCAGGCACTGGCTATCCTGGGGATCTTTAGTCACTCGGGCTGTTTAGGAAGAAAAAAACAGAAGTCTTCAGAAATAAAATAGACATTTTAGACAAAACTGCCAGAGTCAGACTCCAGCATCCATCTCACAACATTCTTGTAGGTGACAGTGCTTATGTTCCCAGAGCGATCAGAGACCCCGCATACTGTCCTCCCCTCTCCTTACAGTAACACCACAGGGAAGCTGGTGCTGCAGAGCCATGGCTATCAGTTCTTGTTCTGCGACAAGAAACCATTCCTTCTGCTGGGGCAGACCACACTGGGCCCCACGGCCTCTTAATCTCCCCTGTCTTGCGGCAGCCAAAGGGCTGCTGCCGGTCAGCAGGACCTGGGAGGGAATAGCTGCCTAGCAGCAGAACGGGGTTCCTTTAACTGTGAACCAAGCGTTTGCCATTTAGCTTTCTGCTCTGATCAATGTGCTGGCTCCCCAGGGCTGCTGCCATCAGACACTGTCCTCATCAGAACAGGCTGTCCCCTTCCTTTAGTGACAAACACTGCCAGAGGCTAGAAAGGTCTTGTCCCCACAGCACCCCTCATGCCTATCACAGGGAAAGCGGAGCTGATTGACACTTTGCCACAAAAAAACGCCTGTACACACAGGACTCCAAGCGACACAAGCCCTTTGCTGTTTCTCTGCACGTAAATGTTCTGGCCAAAAAGGTACAGCAGCTTTCCTCGAGGTCAAAGAGGTGCAGCAAAGATTTTTACCCTCTGAAGTTCAGGCGCTCTTGCAATCCTTGCTTTGGAACAGCAGCAGTAGTGGGAGAAAAGCTGCTTTTGTACCAAGACCAAGGAATCAAAAACCACCAGCTAAGACTTCTTTTTTCCAGAACTATGGAAAGGCAAGGCCTTTTAGGAGTTTATGCTGTTTCCTAGATCTTCCACCCCCCTGTATTTAACCTCTGTAACTTGAAACACAAAAAAGTAGGACAGCTTTGCAGCTCTCCCGTTAAGCCATGACATCCCAACACTCCCCGCAGATAAGCAGCCGTCGGCCCCTGACAGCAGAGTGCCAGCGCTCGCTCTACTGCGGGATAAGCCAGCTCCCCCCATGAACAAATACAGAGCTGCCTCGATCCCTGAACCACACAACAGAACAAGGGAGAATTTCACTCCTATACATTTACCTTCACTCTTAGGCATGGCTCTGCACTGACTGGGTTGCCTGGAGGGAGCTGAAAAAGACCCAAGACACCAGGAAAGCAGAGGTGTAGCAGAATGGAATGAACACTCAGCTGTAACAAGTGCACATGCACGTACTGAGGGGCTGTAAGGGATACAACTTTTCCCATGGCATTCTCACCATCAGCAATGTTTAAGCAGACACAAATGCATTAGAGCGCCGGTAACAAAGGCAATTTACCACCTTGAGAAAAGCAAAGCCTATTTCAACATCAGCATTGATATCTTGACCTGGCTACTGTGAAAAGCACCTAACACTCATCCCTCTGTGTACGCTTCCAGTGGCAATCGAGACTGCTGATGCCTTATCTGCGGGCATTCTGCCAGTATCAGCAAGAACTGACTTACATCCAAGTCCTACCTTGAAGCAGGATTAGTTGAACACAGCTGGAGATTAGTGCCTGGCAATCCTTTCAAGTACTCAATGTTATGTCTACCAGAGGAAAGAAAGCACAAAGGAAACATCCTAAGGGTCACGAGACAAGGAACAGCTACTATGCAAAAGTGGAAGAATTCCAGCAAAGTCCTCGTAAAGCAGATGGAGAATAAAAAGCACTAGGAGTCAAATTTTGGACTGAACAAAACATGAGAAGAGAGACAAACATGTAACTTTTATTGTTTATGTACAAATGACATAAGTTTGTATTAAAAAGAGAATCCACCCAACCTCAAAGACAGCAAAGAGCAAGATGGCTTTGAGCTCCAGCCTTCCCCACATCTAAAAGCACTGCGTAAATTTTCGGGGATGGTGTTTAAAATTAAAGTTAGAGAAAAGGGTTAACCACCTTCTTCTCTGCTTCAGCAAGAATCAAAATGAGCTGTTCCACAAAATGAAGAACCTTCCACTCTACATGGATTAAAACAAAGAAACCAAAAGTCAATTTGTTAACTATACACTTCGGTTTAAAAAAAAAAAACCAACAACAAAACCAACAAAAAAACAAAACAAAAACAAAACTACAAAGCTAGGTATCAGCAACAAAAGTTATCTAAGTCTTACAACATGGATGGGACGTACTGAATCATACCCCAGTTCCAGTGGAAAAAGAAATAGCTCTCCATGGGTTTGCAGATGACAGGGGTGGCAGCAGCAAGATCAGCCAATTTTAGGAAGTTCCCGACTGAGGTGGAAGCACAGAATAGTCAGGAATTCAGGACTACTACTACTACTACTACTACACCTTAGTCTTCCTGCAGCTCAGGTGATTTAAAAATGATGCAAAGTACATGGTCCAAGATTTTCTCCCCCCATCTAAGTTCTTTAGAGTGAGCCACTCCCATCTGCAGACACTTGGCCAGAGAGCTGCCATCGTGCTCATTCAGTCGACTGGCATTTTTCTCAGTGGGGATCCACGTAGACCTAAATCCCAGAAGCATCAGCACTGACGAGTCTAGTAGTCCTGCAGAGAAAGGAAAGGACAGGCACATTAAGACCCTTCTACCTTCAATTCTGCTTGCAGAGCTGGGATTCTTAGTCTTCTCTCATTTCAACTAGTTGCAGGCAAAACAGAAAAGAGATTTTTTTCTGGTAGCTAAACATTCAAAAGAAAGGACCCTTCAATACCTTAATTCAAGAACACATGAATTCAAACCAGATGCTTTTAATGTTCCAGATCATTACAAGATAACAGGACGCAAACCAGCTTTCTTCATAAAAGGTGCATAGGACTTAACTGTGACCTAGCTTCATAACAAGCCTACCTGGGCTTATTTACTGTTAAATCCACAAGACAATGCTTATTTCATACCATGATATTCCTCAACCATGAAAATAAGATCTTAAATTACAGCAGAGGGAGGCTTTGTAAGATTAGGAGTCAGTCAGCCACTCAAGTCTACAGATGAGCAATGAAAACAATGACAGAGCACAGATACTTACGGCTCTTGGCTTTTTGTTTAACTTGAGATCAATCCTGTGGTTGGAAAGATAAGAGAAATGTCCATTTCAATACATTAAACCAAGACTAGAGTTCAAAGAACCAGCTACTGCATATGGCACAGGCTACAACAAAGACTATTTGGTTAATTCAATCCACATTCTCAATTCGGCTGAGCCAAATCACTGTCCCAATATTACTGGACAAGAGAGCAGCAAAGAGATGGAGAGTGGATTCTTTATTATTTGCCAAAATGCATATTCCGTCCACTCAAAAAAAGAGTTAATAAAGGTTCATAATAAAAATCACAGGGAAGTTATGCAGCATAAAGAAATAAGGTTAAATATGCATGCTCTATGTTAATTTGTTAGATGTGTAACTATGCCACAGGTAATTATTCAGACATAGTGGTAATGGTTATTTACTTGGAATAGAGATAGGAGTTTAAGATGACAGGGATTATATGAGTCAAAGGTACTGAGTTCATTACATTTTTCCGGAAGGAAATATTCAAGTCTACACTAATCTCCTTAAGAAGCAAAGCCAGAAGAATCAGTTTTTAAACTAAGTTTTTAAGTTAAAAAGTTTATCTATTTAAAAATGAAATAGAAAGGTAAAGAAGAGTGAAGTTAATTTAATTTTGCTGAAGTTATTAAATAAAATGTTACCTCCATCACGCTTTTCTGTTTTTAAAAAAAACTTCCCAGCCTAACCTAATATACATACCTACAATTAAACAGATAAACTATGGGTTAGAAAGGTCTCAAAAGGCACATTGGTGTCTACACACTAACAACACAGCACAAGTACTAATTCAAGTCAAACTTACTCAAAGTCATAATCAAACATGCCAGACGGGCTGAGGGGCAGCATTTGAAAGGAAGAAAGCAATAGAAATTAATATACTAATGAATTAAATAAATTAGTTGATTAGCCACCCTAGCGAGATTACTAAAAAATAAAATAAAATAAAAAAATAATAAAGCCAGTGTTCAAATGCCACGAAGTTCTTAAGATATCTTAACCAGAATTGGGCACAAAAAGCACTCCAGATTTGGCAATCCAGAGTCCCCCTCCCCAATTGGATTTCTGGGAAAAAGAAGTGTTAGAACAGAGGCAGAGTGGTTTTATGGAGGGAATTTTAGGTGCTGAAAAAGGAAGCTATCAGATACGTGAGAGTGCACACTGGCTCACAGGCAGAGAGAAAAACTGATTTGCTTGCAAAAACAAACGAGCGGGTGGTCAGAAAGCAGTGGCTTTGTCTAGATTATTACGGCAAAGCAAAGCTTGTTCAGGCAGAGGTGGAGGTGACGCAGAACTAAGTGGCCAACTTCGCATTCGAATATTCTCATAACGCGCACGCATACACACATCCTCTTGCACTCGCTTCCTTTAGTGAGCTAAAAAGAGACCACGGTCAATTGGCCAAAGCTAATTACAGTTTGGTGACATTCCCACCCCTTGTCTCAGCATTCACACAGATATCACAGCACTGTCGCTAGAAACAGTTCTGCCCCACAGCTAACAACTGTACTTGTTGGAAAGGACTTATCGTCAAATCAGCTGTAACTTAGTAGCTTTTCAGCACTGAATTTCTGAGAGGAAACAGTATTGTCTTCTCCTGAAATACTTTTTAGCCATGAAAATTGCTAAGCACACAGAAAATAATCATCTTGGCCTTCCTGTGGTCTCAGAGGGAACAGAGGATGACTTCAATAAAGACATTGTAGCTTCCATCTGATTCCCTGTTTTTAACCGTTTGAAGTTAAACTGCCTATTCACACCAGTTCTGCCCAGTCTGCATCCAACTTTCCACGCTGCTCTCGGTGGCATAGGAATAGAAAGTCCAGTGGAGTCAGTGCACCTTCAGGGTGCCCGTTCCTAACACCTCCCAGTTCCCCAGGAACAGGTGAGCAGAACTCAAATGTATGCTGGCAAATGGAAGAGCTTCTGAACAAAAAGAAACGCCAGTGTATCTTTTTCTTGCCCTTTTTTTTTTTTCATTCCGTGACACTCAAGAAACAGACACGCTGGTCTCTTCCTAAAGAGCACTCTGGGCTGCAACGCATTTTAAAGCACTTAGCTCTACTTCCAGTAGACTGGGACTGTTTTGTTGTTTGCTTTTTTTTAACCTAGATACACTTTCTGGCCTTTTCTGCCAAAATTTAGGGGATAGTCAGTAATGGCATTCACAATTTTAACAGTGTTTTTATTACAGACAAACTTAATTTTCTTCTTCTTTTAATAATCTATCTGGCCGTGCTAAACATTACAAAATAGTCAATGGCCAATTGCAAAAGCCTTTCCGTAACGTAGATGTGTCTGATGTATTTCTTAGGATGATAAGAATTGCCATACCAGATCAGACCAGGGCTCCTCATGTCCAACATTCTGTCCCCGAGAGTAACCAGCATCAGCTGCTTCAGTGGAAGGAATGTAGAAGAAACCCCAAAGCAACACAACCTGTCAGTAGGGCAGTTTCTTCCTAACTCCTGTCGCTAAAGTTCGGGTTATGTAATGGAGCAAAAGAATTTATATTATTTACAGCATTTGTATTGCACCCCACTGCGTCTGCAGTGGATTGGTTTGCTGTCCATGTGAGTGATTAGTAGACTATTTTATAATTTGTTTGAAATAGCAATTTTCTTAAGCTGTACTTCAGTTTTACAGATGCCATTTCTTGTGTTATTCCTGAACTTCTTTCCAATTGTCTACAGGCAAAAAGAGTTTTGAACTGCTTTGGATTCCCAGCTCATAAGGAACCAAAGGGACACCCAGTACTTTAGGATGTTTGCCCAATTAAGACTGCTGTAGGAAGAAAATGCTAATCTAAGAATTAAAGACATGCTAATGACTTAAAATTTAATGAAGGAGAAAAAGTAGTTAAACATTTTTCAAGCACCATACCTACCTCCGTATCTCCCAAACCAACCTTCCCCCAGCAATCTTTGTAAATTCTTACCACTTTTCTTCAAAACATTTCTCTCTTGTAATTGTATGGGAAGGTCCCTTAAAGCCCATCCATGCACTAAGCCAACAAGCTCAAAGTTAGCAAGAACACTTGATTTTTAAAAGCTCCTTTACTTCCAATAATTTTTAGGTACCAGTTCCAGCAATCATTTCCAGAGAGGTGCAGTTCTGCAGTGTCTCCTCTTTCCAAAAGCATGGATTTCCATGGGTTTTTTTTCCCCTTAGGGTGTGACTCCACAGTGCACTGTCATACTCTGTAGAAATCCTGGGGCTAGCTCTGCTGAGGGGCACCGAGACATGGTTAAGCAGCAGGTTATGTTGGCCCACGGAGAGCAGCACTGTAAGGCAGGGAGTATATTTGAGATTTCCGAGCCATCAGCCCGCCATGCTGCATCACGCCTTAGGGGCATACCTTAAGGGGCAGAACTGGTCATCTGAATTGAACCGTAAAGAGTTCAGAAAAGCTTTGTTTCACATCAATTTAAGGTCAGTTTAATAACACACACTTTGAGGTTAATGTGACAAACCAACTCATCCATTCTGTATTCAAAAGAGACTCAGTTTGGAACACTGAAAACTGAAAGGGCTTGGAGTGGAAATCTTAGTGAAGAGTGTCCACAACGCCCAAAACATTCCAATTTGCTTTTTCACCCTTCTTTTCCAAGGAAAGTACTGACATTTCTATCTTATTTGGTTCTGCAGAAACCAAGAAGCATGCACAGGAAGCCAGGACTGCAGTCTTCCTCTACTGGAAGGAAGACAGCTTTATTCTCAGGGACAGATAGGAGAGCTGAAAAAGCCTGGTCAAAAGCACAGCTGTACCAGAGCTGGAGTTAGTACCCTGTGCTGCTTGTTTAACTTCCTCAGCGTGCTTTCCCCTCCTTGATACAACGGGAGCAATGGGGTCCTCATGAATGCTACAGGATGCACACAACTGAAAACCAGAAAAATGACCAAAACTAACGGCCTGAGCTGCTCATTATTCTAACAAGTCGCAAGTTCCTTTCACATAATAAAGTAAATTCAACCACAGCTAACCATTCAGAAGGGATGACAAGAAGGCTGCTGGTACCACTAACCTGTGTCGATTTTTGTTCTTCCGTTTTTTGTGGCTGCTGTGGTGGCTCCCAGAAGAAGTAGAAGAAGCAGCTTTCTGGGGTTTCACCCCCTGCACAGACCCATCCAGCTCTTCAGCATCCTCCTGGTTGGGCTCATTCTCCTGATTGTGAAAGTCTGGAGAAGTGTCACTTTCTGTGCCGCTGCCCGGCTCCCCTAGAGCACGACAAAGACAGACGAGCACAACAGTTACCTCCCCGCGGCTCACATCGCAGGCTGCCCTGGCAAAGCCCTGCATGGAAGAGGCAACCCCCAGCAACAGTACACGGGGCAGCAGAGACACGCTGAGCCTTAGGGCACCAGAAGGTAAATAAGAGAACCTGAAAAATATTTCTGAAGGACAGCAAGCTACCTCCTCAGCAACTGAAGCACATTAGAATTGTATCCGATTTGGTATTGATTACAAAACATTTTAAAAAATTCTGAATGTAAGTGGCCCCTCCCCATGTCACTTGCAACTGTGACAGACACACAAACAGAAACACGTTGCTTCAGCTCTTGTAACCTCTTTCTCCAAAGAGCACCAAGTCCATTTAAGTAAGTTTTATGCACAATAAACCCTTGCTGAGCATACAAGTTTACTTGAGAAGGAAGCTCAACTTTAATTCTGTTTCTCACAGTGCCACTTTGCTGACTTTTGTAGCTAGAGGTTGTGCTGGGAGCACTCAGGAGCCTACGAGGAGCAGCCGCAGGTCCCTGGACGGGGAGTGCTGTGGAGGAGCAGCGAGTACAGCACGGATCCAGAAAACTGGAGACAGAGCTGAATGGTAGGGAGAAGTGTAACTCTTTCCAAATTCTGAGAGAAATGAAAAAGTGACTTACGCTTCTCAATGAGCTGGTCCTGAACTCCAGCTAATGCACTGACTGCCTGCAAAACCAAAAGGGATGTTAATGAAAGCAGTAATTCACTTACCACTTTTCAAATGTCCAAAACCACAGAGATCACCTCACAGAAAAAGACACATCAGGCCTTTCCTTGAAAGAGCTTACAACCTAGCACCAGCATGGCACAGCAGAAGGGGGTTAGGAGCAAAAAGATAAAGACATGGGCGGCAGTGACAAGCGTGTGGCACGGGTGGTTCTTGCCTGCGGTTCCCTTTCACCTCTCTGGGCACTAGGAAAAGGGTTTCTGAAAGAGGCTGCGACGTGGGATGAAGATGCTCGGCTTGGGGGAGATAGGGCAGGTACAGGAGCTTAAATGGAAAACTGGTCCTGCAGCAGCCCGGGCGACCACCACGGGACCAGCTGCCCCGAGGAGCTCCAAGGGAAGGGGACAGGGACGGGGACAGGGACGCTCAGTCCCGCCAGGGCCTGGCCCGGCACTCACCGCTGCCGAGGTGACCGAGGACTTGCTGAAGAGCCGCTCAGCCTCCTTGAACTTGCGGTTCCTCCGGTCGTTTTTGCTGTTGGAGTTCCTGAAACAGAGAGAAACAACATCGCGGGGGCCCGGCGGGCTGGGCAATGCCAGGCAGGGCGGGTAGGCAGTGGCGAGCAGGGTGGGCAGGCAGGCAGGGAGGGAGGGCAGCAGCGGGCAGGGTGAGCAGGCAGGCAGGCAGGGCAGGCAGCACCAGGCAGGGT